AGGCAAGCAGGCAAGCAGGCAAGCAGGCAAGCAGGCAAGCAGGCAAGCAGGCAAGCAGGCAAGCAGGCAAGCAGGCAAGCAGGCAAGCAGGCAGGCAGGCAGGCAGGCAAGCAAGCAAGCAAGCAAGCAAGCAAGCAAGCAAGCAGCAAGCAAGCAGCAAGCAGCAAGCAGGCAAGCAGCAGCAAGCAAGCAGCAAGCAAGCAAGCAAGCAAGCAAGCAAGCAAGCAAGGCAGGCAGGCAGGCAGGCAGCAGGCAGGCAGGCAAGGCAAGCAAGCAAGCAGGCAAGCAGGCAAGCAGGCAAGCAGGCAAGCAGGCAAGCAGGCAAGCAGGCAGGCAGGCAGCAAGCAAGCAAGCAGGCAAGCAGGCAAGCAGGCAAGCAGGCAAGCAGGCAAGCAGGCAAGCAAGCAAGCAGGCAAGCAGGCAAGCAGGCAAGCAGGCAAGCAGGCAGGCAGGCAGGCAGGCAGGCAGGCAGGCAGGCAGGCAAGCTGTGAGCCAGTAGCAGGCAGGCTATGTAGTGGCATCTTGTGCGCGCTTCTCAAGGCTTCTCAAGAACGTCTCAGATAGCAGCATTGCTCTCAAACAACATGAAGTCTGAAAATGCCCACGACTCAAATTGGACATTGAGATCGTCCCCTCGAACGTTGGAGCTCCTTTCCGGATGGCCTTCCAAATTTTGCGAACACAAACTTGAGGAGCCAAGTCAATTGAGCTATGGTCAAAGTTCCTCAGCGCTCCTGCAGACATGGAATATTGAGTACCAGCAGTAGCTTGATGAGTGCTCAACAAATGTCACTACCATTGACAGCTATAGAATGGGCCTAAATGAGTTCGAACAAATGGCTGTGGCTCAAAAAATGATCCAAAATGGCACCTGGGCACATGCCAAAGACTACAACCTGCGGTTTGCCCTAGCTCTTCAATTTGGAGCCACACCCAAATGTCGGATACACATTCTGCGCAAGCAACCCACTGGCCTTGGGCTCAGGAGTGGTGGCAGGCGCTCGCTTCCTCGCTGGCAACTCGTCGCAGGGTCAAAGGCAAACCGCCCATGTGGGGTTCCCCTATTTTGGACACAGACCCGTACTATTTGAAACGGACAAAACACTCTCTCTTTTTTTTGGGGGGGGGTCCCATTTGGGGTGGGGGAAAAGGTTCCGAACTCTGGTTTTCTACAACTCAAACCCTTGGGATGGGAAAGCCAAGACCGCCGAGGTCGCAAACACCCCGCCTGGTGCGCCGCAGGAGGTCCTTGCCCTCGGGCCTCAAACTGGGGATCAGTGCGATCAGTGGGTGCAAACTTATTCGGCTGTGGCTCAAAAAACCGGTACCAAAATGGAACCCTGGCAAGTGGAAACATGGACCAACACCTGCGTAACCCCTCCTGTTTAAATTTGAGCCACACCCATTCTGGAACTCAAGATTTGGGGGGGGATAGCATCCTGTGATTTCGGGGCGATATATCTTGGGAAATCTTCCTGGTGCGATAGGCAGGGAATGAGACTTCCGGAACGACCCCGAAATAAAACATCCAACTGGTGGTTTCCTTTAAGGGAATCCCGAAGTCCATTCCCACATTCCCGACTGAGAACCAGCAAGAAAAGGAAGAAGTCAGTGTCGGCTCCCAAATGCAACGCGACCTACTCAACTAGGACCCCCTGGGCTCGTTGTGGACGAGTGTTGATTGTCGCTCAGTTCCGAAAAAAGAACTTGCAGCACACGCACGGCGGCTAGGTTCCTGGCGCGTCGCAAGCGCTGCCTTGCGCAGCTCTGAGATGTTCATGCACGCGAAAGGGCAGCCAAACCGAGCCCCCAGAAAGCCAACCGATCGTGGCATCCACAAGCCTGTGACAAACAAAGCCGCTTTTGGACTCGCCCGAGAATCGATTCTCTCAGGCCTTCAGCCTTGGTAGCGCCCAGGGTCTGCGCAGAACAGCTCAGTGTGACTGGATATCCCTCTCCGCCTTTGTTGCAAGAGCCTGTCACTCCAAACACATCTCTTCCACATTGCAGCATGCTTCCAGATCCAAGGATGTGAACCCTAAGACGCAACGAGAGCTGTGACCAGGCCTTCCGGTCCTCCGAAGACAAGGTGGCCATTTGAGGTGAAGTGCAATGCAGCAATTGAATGCTCCGATTCGAGCTCAGAGGCTGCAGACGCGCGACAATGATAGAGGATAATAACCAACACCACACCCAAGAGCGTTGCGCCACCACACCCGGTGGCCGGCCCTAGGTGCTACATGCTCGCAGCTGCCTTCTTTGCATGTTCCTCACACGCCCTGTACAGAGGGAGCGCCACGAACGGCGAGCTTGCCGACAGCCGAACGTCGGACTCAGCTTGGCCCCGGAGGCCAAGCTGGTGTGCTCGAAGTATCTGCCAGCGACGGGTGAAACGGCCATGGAACGGAAACAAACTCTTTTGTCACGGTCGAGTGGCCATATCAGGCCTGCGTTATGTGTTTCCATGGGCGATGCAAGCTCACGAGTGCAAGCAGCTTGCTCATCTGACAGCCTGACAGCAATCTGAAAGAGAGAAAAAGGCTTGTGGATGCACTGCCAATGCACCTCTCATTGAACCCTTGATGTTTTCCGAGCATGCTCAAAACTACACTTAATTACTTAGTTACTTACAACAGCATATAGTCTACTGCCCCATGCCACCATTGCAGCAAATTTAGAGATGATCGGATCGGCCGAAGCATCTGCTCTGCTCTGTCTAGCATCCATTGCTGGTTGCAAGCATGTCACTGCTAGAAGTCAGCAAGGTCAAATGATATCCCCAACAGGATTTGTGCACCAAAGTTGAGCTGCGAGGACGGTGCTGCATGCAGCCATGGGGTGAACCTTCTTGGTATGCCTGGAAAGGGCAACTTGGGCTCCGCCACACACCGAAACAAGACTCCGAAGAATGTCCGGACAAAACCTGAACCCTACATACCCCGAGCCCACGCTCTTGGCCGTGGATACTTGGAATAGCTTGTCAAAATGAACAATACATGCGCACTGAGAAGAAGGAAAACATGAAGCTAACTCGGAAAGGCTGGGAGGTTCCACAGCTTTCAAAACCGGCTCCGAAAACTCCCAAGTCAATTGCACCTCAGGGAATCCCTTGTCAGGGAACCAATAAGCTTGGCCTTCTGGAGCATCGTGAAAAACGCCTTGTGCACATGTAAGACGATGTTCATTCCAAGGCGCAGCAGACTTGGGAGGATCCTCGCCGTACCATTTGAACCAGCACATGCCTCAGCTTGCGGCTCATTCAGATGGCAGCCGTCAGACGGTCGTTGCAAGCATCCAGCTATGGAGCCGGCCGTTGAGAAGTCAATCAGGGTCAATCAGAAGCGAGGCATGGCTTCCCGGACAAGCCACTCATAGCAAATGTCCCCCATGAGACGAACAATGACGCATGCGCAGTGAAGCCCCAAGCCCCTAACGGCAATAGCTGGCATCCTGGTCCCAGAACAGCTTCAAGGGCTGGCCGCGGCCACATTCGTGACAAAGCACCTTGGGCGAGTAAGCTAATGGGACGGCCAGAATCATTTGAATGTTTGAACAATGGTCTTCAATCTCTCTCAGAAAGTGACAATGGCCATCTTTCCCAGTCTGACTTTGGATTCGCCTGGGGAAGACGTCACAACTGTCCTCCCGGCCTTGTTGACCCAGCGTCTCACAGGCGCTTGCGCCTGGCATGCGCCAGGCATGTCCCCGGATCAATCAGCCGTGTCAGAAAGGGACACCCCCGTGTTTGCGGTTTCCTGGATCAAGATTTGTCGACGACTTGGCGGTTGGAAAGCCAGAAAGAAAAAACAAGAGAGCCGGCGCCACAGACCACCTTTTTCCTGCCAGTCGACCATGCTCTTTGGGTCGACCATGCACGGGCCAATAGCTCACCCACCTTCGGGACTCGTCCCAATTTCCTCTGATCATTTGAGCATGGCTCAGCTAAAAGCTGAATCTCCTCTCTCACTTCGGGCCTTGGCAGAAAAAGGTAACCAGAAAGTTGCCACTCTGACTGTGAAATCTTCGAGAAGTTGCTCACCGGCCATGTCCATCCGAACCGCTGGATGACCATGGATTTTGACCCAAAGGAAGAAGTAACGGAGTTCCTTTCGGATGCCACAAGCCACGAGCGATTGGACAACTTTGGAGCCATCTATTTTCAGGTCCAAATCCGCACCCCGGAAAAAAGGCGTCCATCGCATCCCGGGGCCAAGATCACTTCGACGCCCTCCGTTCGGCGCTCGCGACTGGCGCTGACTCACCGCGTCTCGTTCCGGCGCTGGAGGCTGAAGACCAGCGGCAGCCCGGCGACGTCGAAGTCCTCCAGGAGCTCCTCGGGTGGGCGGGAGGTGGTCATTCGTCTTTCTCTGCACAGGCAGCCAACCAAACAAAGCAAACGATAAATGCACAAACATGAAAACATACTTCCATACAAAGCAAACAAGCAAGCAAGCAAACAAACAAGCAAGCAAACAAACAAACAAACAAACAAACAAACAAACAAGCAGAGCAGAGCAGAGCAGAGCAGAGCAGAGCAGAGCAGAGCAGAGCAGAGCAGAGCAGAGCAGAGCAGAACAAAAGTGAACAAACAACGGACAAGAACTGGACCTTTGCCCAAGGCGTTTGGGGGTGTCAAGCGTGTCTCCGGTGATGTCACACCTGGCCTTGCCTACTTAGCTTAGCTTTCCTCAACTGTGCATCTTGGATACGATCAGCACGCCGTGCTTCTCCAGAGAGTCTCCCATCCAAAGAAGCTTCTAGACACCGGAAGGTATGGAGAAACAAGCACTGACAAGGGCCTCCTGGACAGTTTTCGCCCGACGAATTGAAAAAATGTGGTCCACTTTATCGGAAGGTTGACGACTTGACGAGCGCCAGCAGACTTGCGAAGAGTCACTTGTTGGGTCTCTTTATGGCCTCTTTGTTGCCAACCGTCGTGGTTGTCTCAACCTGAACATCGCTTCAAACACTCAGCCATTAGCCACCACATTGCTTGGCGACGCATTCAAAACAGGTAAAGGATGTCTTGATTCAAAACTGTCAAAAGTGCGGACTTCTTGCCTGCCCGAGCCCACTTCCCCAGTAAGTCCTGCTGGAACCAGTTACTGGTACGCCAGCTGCCGTCGTGCATTGCTTGGTGCATGGCGATCAGAAACGGCCCATCCCGGAGCAGGCAATGGCTGACTTCACTCTCGCCAATGTTGCCACCTAGCGGGGGCTTGTCCCAAAGGACTCTTGCTTGCACGAAAGCTCCACACAAATGAACAAAGCACAAAATAGCCACACTGTTCGTGTCGGTCTCTGGCGCTGCAGCAAAAACCTGCTAGACTAGTGCAAAACACACAACATGATACGTGTCACTTCGAAGCAATTCATTGTCTCCAGCCTTTCCCATGCAGCCAGTATGGCGGACAGAAAAGTAGTGCCACGCCGCCCTTCGACAGGTGCGCCTCTGAGAGCTTCTGAAAATTCCCGCAGAAAGTCTCCTGCGAGCACCACAAACAAACAAGCAACTACCATCCACCGTTCGGCCATGTGTTCAAACTAAAAAGAGCATTATGGAAAACGGAAAGGTTGAACCCTCCATTTAGGAAGCTAGACGCCGCTCTCCTCCTCCCAAGGCTGGGGCTTTCCTGTCCAGCCGGGCCCACCCAGCAGGATCACGTCGAAGAAGAGGCCTTTGGGCCTCCGGAAATCGCGACGCGTGTTTGCCTTCGGCACCCATGGTCCACGGTCAAATGGGCGCATATCTTCGGCACCCAAGGTGCCCTGTATCGCATGGCTATGAACCTGAATTGACGAGAATTCGAGCTGCAACAATGGTACAAGCCCGCGACCTGATGTCCCCGCAGATCTGCAGGGTTATGGCGTTACAGACTGAACTTGCCAAACTCAATGGAGCTGAGCCCCAGCTATGCCCCAAACTTCGGCCAGGCGCCAGGTGCTGGGGTCGAAGAGGTCCAGGATGGGCACCCGCAGACGCCGCTCCTCCGGCGAGCCGCGGCCGAAGGAGGACCGCGCCCCAGCGAGGCGCTGCCAGGCGTTCTCCCGCCGCACCTCCGAGCTCCAGACGTGGAAGCCCTTCGCCAAGGCCTCGGACAAAAGCCGCGCAGTGTGGCTTGGGACGGGAGGCGCGGCTTGCGCTTCTTGCGACCAGCACGTTGACAATTTTGTGCTAAAAAGAACGACCAATATCTCGGCTTTGCGCAGTGTCATTGTCATGATTACTCTGCAGTGGATTGCCGAAAAATTGACAAGTCACCTGTACAGCAAACACTATGTGGGGAGTGTAATCTAAATCGGCTTTGGCCAACTTGGGATATCAAGTTGCTGTTTTCCTGGGGGTGGGGAGTCAGGATTCGCGGCACACGTGGGAACACACCACAGAAACATTGCTAGGAATCCTCATCCGAAGCCTACTTCAGCGAATGCTTGCTTTACACAAGCCTTCAAGCGAGTGGCCCAAGCTTGGGTCAACTTTGCGCGAGCAAAATCGAGTGCGCAATAAGCCCGAGTCGCCACCAACGACGGAGCGCCCACGGAGCTGGCGACCTCCAGAAATCGCAGAGGCCGGCGCCCGTCCGGGAACTCCGCCAGAGCAAAGGCGACCGCAGCGCTTCCAGCGCTCCAGACAAGGCCCTCGCCGTTGCCGCTGAGACCCACAAACGGGAAGCGGCCAGGGTCGATGATTTTCTTTCTTTCCCAGTGCTCGAGCGCCTAGGCGGTTGGCATCGGCAAGTTAACTCTTGCAAGAGCAATGATCCTTCAGGGACAGAACCCATTTTGCGACGGCTCACCTGGCCCTGGACCACGTTCACCATTCTGCCATCAGGCATGCGGATCTGCCAAATCATGTGGTTGTAGTGGGGCACCAGATTCAGATTGTGGTTCAGGCTGCAGCATTCGTTGTTCTGAAACGACTCGTCCCAGCATGTAGGGTTCCCCTGGATTTGCGCAGTTCCCTCCAGAATGCGATCAAGGGCACTCACGTCACTCCCGTGTCGGCAGCAGAATTCGAAGGTCCATGGTTCCTTGAAGCATGACTCATTGCGCCAGATCATCTGCCGCCAATCTCCAAAGCGGATGTTCCTCGACTCGCAGGCAAAAACGATAAATCAAAAGATAGCTTGAACTCCACAAAAGTTCCATGAGAATTGCCTGCCAACCCTATGGTTTTCGGGCATGACTGCGGCCGGGTGTCACTACGTCGGCTGCGAAAACAGGAAACGGCCATGCCCAGTGCCATGCTCGCATAAGGGGAGGGAGAACCCTCCGAGAGAGCAACAGCTTGGGGCACGGCAACTTGGGCCAATGGCCAAAGCAACCATAGATTGTTGCATGCAGCAAAATAGAACACACCTGGCAGTAGTGGTAGTTTGGATGGAGTGCGCAACCCAGATACAAGACCTGAAGAGGAACATCATTCTGATAAGGAGCCGATTTCAAAGCCGCGGGCCACGTGCGTTTTTTCCCCGGGGCATGTTACCGAAAGACCCGGGGCCCGGGTCATGTCATGCGTGCTGCAAGTTGAGTGCGCGAATGGCCCTTCGGCGCCCGTCGAGACTGCGCTTTCTATATATCCGGTGTGCATCTGGCAGTTGAGAACGCAAAGCGCGCTGGCTGCGCGTCCAATAGTTCAAGGAATAAGTCGTGAGGTCTCTTCCTCGCCGCGCCCGCTAAATCCCGCGCGAAGCCGCGAAGTCCCGAAGCCACCCCCCTATTTCAGGGCAACCGCCTGCAACATGATCTGCACCAAGCCGCTGGGCAAAAGCTGCCAGGGGTCAAAGGATGGGACTCGAACGCATTCGATTCAAGATCCCTCCCGTTGCCAGGCAGACCATTGGCCATCGCAGAGGCGTCCAAGAGGCTCCTCTCTCGCAATGCCTCTCACCGCGTCTCATTCCGACGCTGAAGGCTGAAGACCAGAGGCAGGCGTGCAACGGACTCAAAGTCGTCCAAAAGGTCCTGGAAAGGGAACAAGTGATCTGGAAAGTCAAGAATGAAGCATGCCTCCGACCAGTTTTTGGGCAAGCGAAGGGTCAAAGGCTTTCACAGCTCCCAAGCTACGGAAAACGGCCGTCTTTATCCGTTGCAGGAACCATTTGTGACAGCCAAGCGATGCGTCATGTCTAAACCTGCGCTTTCATACTCACTTTGAGCGTGTCGCACAAAGTCCCTGTTGGATGGCTTTTGGCCCATGGCTCAAAACCAAAGATCGTCCTGCTGGAGCCATCTGGTTCGCCAGCTGCCGTCGTTCATTGCCTGGTGCATGGCGATCAAAAAGGGCCCATCCCGTCGGAGGCAATGGCTAGCTTCAGTCTCGCTGATGTTGCCGCCTGGGGCTTGGCCCGCAAGGACGCTTTGCAAGAAGCCCTTCACAAATGAAGAAGCAGCGATTTGTAAAGCACTCACAAAGTCACATGGCCCATTCCTTTTTGTGTCCGGCCTCTCCGACGCAGAAGCTCTGGCTTGAAGAACAGCAGCGCAGTTCCGCCTGTGGCGAGGTGGACATCTGCAAGCTTCTGGAAATTCCCGCAGAACGTGGCTTCCTCCTCAGGCGTTGGCGTCGCAGACCAGCAAGGCCCACCCAGCAGAATCACATCGAAGAAGAGCCCGGTGGGCCTGGGACCAGAAGCCATCACTGGCCCTTCTGGACTCTTCCACAAGAAACTGCCAATTAACC